GATGTTTTTCCCTTGCGTGAAATTGGGCTGGGCGTGGCCTGCATGTGATGCATTTGGCCCGCGGTCACCAGTTTGACACCCCTGGTTATGCCCTCTTTCCCTCTTCAAAAAGTCTCCAATTCTGTGTTTTCCTTACGGGCCTCACTCCTTCTAAGAAGGCTCTCATTCCATATTCATCCTCATCTTATTTCCCACTGTTTAACTTCATATTCAAGATCTCTTTCCTCTCTACTTTGATTTCTAAAGCTGGGTGCTTTAGGTCCAATTTATCTCTTTGCTTCCCAGGGCAAACTTGTACTGCTGTGTAGCAACTCATTTCCAAGCCAAATTACCTTTTTGCTTCCATCAGAGAAAGTCAGTTATTTACCCCATCAGTGTAATTAGTGTAATTGGAACCCTTGTAAATATTTACAAGCATATGATGACAGGAATGAAGGCAGAGCACAATTTAAGTTACATTTTTTGTCATTCTCGTCACAACAGTATTGTATCTATTGGCAGCAGCAATGTCTTCTCCACCATTTTAAAATAATGGGGAAAATCTCAATGAATATAGAAAGCTTCTTGGTGTGGCAATCTTCTTCCGTATGCAGAAGAAAACAAGAATGAACCAAGAAAGCTGACAAAAATAATACAATACTTTTAGACATGACTAGACATGGCTTTAGATTGCAATCAAACTTCTTTTATCAGTATACATTAATGAATATAATAAACCTAATGATAGATAAGAATTTTAATCCAGCTAACAACTACACACATTTTATTATGAGTAGCCAAACATTATCTGCTTTTGAATCTGTTCCCAAAGTATAAAAGCTGCCATGTGCCTCTCATACGTTGTTTTTCTTTGTCAATCAAGTCAGGTGCATTTGCAGAATTGTTTGTTTATTTAAAGAATTTATAAGGCCACCCATATCAACCTAGACAGCTAACAACACATAAAAAGTAGATTAGAACAGATTAAAACAAAAACATTAGATGTAATTGTGGGAATCTTTTTGACAATCTTTTGACAGTTTCTGCATTCCTGGTCTATCATCCAGCATCTTATTGACAGAAAGCTGTGAATTAGCTAAATGCATTTTATTCCAAGAATGAACATACCATTTTAGTCAGGCATTTATGTTGTGTAAAATGTCTTATGGATACTGGAAAAAGAACATCCTAGTCAAGGCCAGTCCAAGCAAACAAAACTATTATGTGTGTGATAAAGTTTAATAATAATTGTTAAAATTGTTTAATTCCTTATTATATACTCTATTGTGGGTTTTCTAGATATTTTTATACATAGATCCAATTTTGTTATTGCTCATTTAATATTTTTAGTCCACTGGGTATATAAATGCAGATGCACTAATTAAGTTTGCAAGGCCCAAGTCATAGAAAATTCAATGGATTTTGAATTGGGCATTGAAGCTGTTTGTTGTTATTTTGGACTGAGTGAAACATTCAGGAAAAGAGAAACAATTGAAACTAATTGCTGTGTTGATTCTCAGCTTGCAACTCCATTGAAAGTTGCTGTGCTACTGCAGAGTTATGATTTGAGAGCTAGTGGCTTGGTAAAAAAAAAAAAACTGGAATGGACATCTTTATCCTCAAGGAATCCTGCTTCAGCATTTTCTCAGCATTTTCTTCAGGGTGGGGAGGGAAACATGACTCAGCCCAACCCTCTCATTCCTGTCACTTCAAATTCTGAATGTTGAGAAGAGGATCTGAAAAGTGAAATACTGAACTTGAAAAAATGAACCTGCTTTTGATCTGCCAAATAGCTGGGAAGTTCTATTGAAAATACCAAGAGATGAATACACACAGAATCTCGCCCAGAATTTCCTGCCTAGGCAACAATGAAATGCAGTTGAAACCAAATTGAGACAAAATCTTTTGTCAACAGGACATCTGGATCCTTGACTGGATCCAGTCAAGATTCAGACCTGAGCATGGAATTGCAACTACATTGCTCACACTTTTGGATGATTTCTGGGATGGGTGATGTCCATTCTTGCCTTAATTTGCTTTCAATACCATCAACCATAGTATCCTTCTGTGACCATGACCAGAGCCTCCTAATGGAGCTGGCATATATCATGTCATTGTGCAAAAGCCTTCCTGGACATGGTCTTTATGTGTTATTCATGGAAAAGTCTTAGCCTTGTATTGGAATATGTCCCTTATATGTTTACAATTTGTTTAAGTTAAGAATCATGAAAGATTATATAAGCAGTGGTAATGCCTGGTTTCCTGCAGAATAAACAAACAAACAAACATGACAGCAAAACCCATGTAAAAGAAGTCATATATCTTATGTCTGTGTGTGCATATATATTTCTTTGTTATATATTTGTTACACACACACACACACATATATATATATGAAAGATAAAATATCAATTTAACAAGGCATCTGTTTATTATTAAGATAAGACATTTCTTTTAATTATAAATAAGGAGGCATCTGCTTTAAGTCTAAGATAAAGACACAGTTGTAATAAGCTAATAAATTCCATTCCATTGATAGTGATTGGTTAAATTTTTAAACTAAAACCTATAAAAAGGAAGATGGAGAAGCAGCCCTTTGCGGTCACTCATGCACAGTTATTTGACAACTTTGGGTTGCATAAATATATTTTATTTGACCTTCACTGAAAGTCTGGTTTGTTTTATTGGAATTTCTGGCCTGGAAATAAACCAGGAAAAAAGGAGTTTGATCTTTCCAACACTACAACCAAGTTCCATTCAGGGGTACACAACCATGTCTAAATGGACTGTTTCTAGATCTTAGCAGATTACACAACCTGAAATAGGACCTCCGCTACATCTCCTATATGGAGATGTAGATATATACCAGTATATAAATATCATCCATATATTCTTTTTTTTTTTTTTAGTAGCAATAGCAGTAGACTTATATACCGCTTCATAGGCCTTTCAGGCCTCTC